GCCACACAGCCGACCCGTGCGCTCGTAGATGGGACCAAGAAAAGGATGACGGGTATTGGACCGAACTCTTTTGAAACAATCACCAATATCAAATTACAGGAAACTGTGACGAATGCGCCGCATCCCATGTTCGATGCCGCTTCTTGGTTCACTCGGGCTACCAGGGCCTTTGAGCTAAGGCCGTGTCTACGCAAAAGACCGCATTTCATGCAGCGCTTCCCCTCCGTGTTTTCCCCCTTTGACTTAGAGCGCAAAGGTTGCAAGCTAGGTAACTAGACCCAGCTTTTCACATTGGTAGCGGAGCCGCCAAAGCGCGGCTTGGCACCGGCGCCGACGCCATGCCTACTTCGACTGATTAGAAGTCGACGGACTACAGTAGCACTGATAAGTTTCTGGTGCCTCGGTCCGACAACACGACTGTTGGCTACAAAGAGTGGAGAAAGCGCATTCAGTTGTATGCTCATCGTCAAAAGCTATAAGGCCGCTCCAAGGAGACAGCTCTGATTGGCTGCGCGACAGGGACCTACATGAAGCTTCTGAAGCCCTTGCACGGACAAGCTGATGCTCCAAGAGCTTGGTTCCGAGTTGCCAGCGTGGATATGAAATATCCACTGCCTCGACCATTGCCTCTACAAACTCCACAATCGAGACGGACGTCTCGTGTCCTTGACCGGCTTGCGCGTGGATGACCTCATCGCTCCAGGAGATGAAGGTGATGAAGACTACCGAAAGGCAAGAGACGCTCCCAAGAAGGAGTTCAACTTCAAGCACTGGACAAGTGACGCCGCAGGAGAACCCGAGTTCTGTGGCAATCGGCTGACTCGGTATGATGAGTCATGGTCATGGAAGCTGCAACAAGAAGAGTATCTGAAGAAAATCAAACCGATGACCACGGTCAAGAAAGCAGCTGATGTGGAGTTGAGGCCCAATGAAGTGAGCGCCCTTAGAGGTCTTGTAGGTGCGTTGCAGTGGGCATCCACTCAGAGTTCACCACACCTCTCAGCTACAGTGTCCTTGCTTTGTGGCAGCGTCAGTGGAGCAACGCAGTCAGTTACCGAAGGAGCAAACAAGGCCTTGAGGTTTGCAAAGGCGAACGCAGATGCATCCCTGCGCTTTCAGCGACTTGGTCCACTCAGTGACTTGTGCCTGATAGCCATCTCAGACGCCGCTTGGGGCGTCAGGCAGGACCATCTGAGCCAAGGAGGTTTCTTCGCCCTGCTAGCTCACAAGAAGATTGAGGGAGAAATGGATCAGCCATATGTGATCCTGGAGTGGCGCTCCTATAACTCTCAAAAGTTTCGAGAAGTTCGTTGAACGCAGAGGCCAGGCCTGTTCGGCAGCCGTTGATTCACTTGAGTTTTTGCACATCTTTTAGCAAGCATGTCATCAAAGTGGTTTTCAGCTCAGCGCAGCCAAGTCTGACAAGAGAGGTGACAAGCGCTTCCTCCCATCGGCGCCCGTCATCGACGCCAAGGCTTTGTATGATGCCATCAAGTCCGAGCTTCCACAAATCAGTGGAGACAAGAGGGCCCAGATCGAAGTGATGATTGTGAAAGAAAAGATGAAGTCCATGTCCACTCATCTGAGATGGGTATCCTCGGAGGTCCAACTATCGGACGGCCTTACAAAGACCCAGGCAAGGCAGCTACTAGCAGACAGGCTGCGAAGCCACAGATTTTTGATGGTGGCCGACAGCTCGTTCCAAGCTGCAAAGAAGAAAAGTGTTCAAGAAAGCAAAGAAAGTGCCAGAAGAAACGCCATCAGTGCCAAGAAGAGTCTGACAATGATGATTGTTTCAGCAGCGTGCAACCAGTCGTCGCACCGACAGACAAGGACAATGACATTGACTGGATGTTGATTGCAATTACATCGTTGGTTGGCGTGGGACTGGTGCAACTCATCAATTGGTTGCAAGGTTGTTGGCAGCAGAGGCACAACAGAGGTCGACAGAGAGGCTTGGAGAAGAGAAAGAGCCATGCAAACTGAACCCCAAATCCAGAGGCAAGAAAGAACAGAACAGCTCGAGGCAAAGATCGAGCAGCACAAGGAATACATCCGAAGAGGAAACATGGTCAATCAAGACCTTCGCAAGACCATTTCAGACTTGCGAGATGAATGTGAACAAAGACAGTGGCGACAGGAGAAAACCGATCATGAACTCGGTCGGCGTCAGCAGATGATCGAAGAACTCAGTCAAGAGTTGAGAGAAGTGAGAATTCAGGCAGCAGCAGCAAGAGGAAGTTTGGCAGGCATCCCCAGGACAGTGTTCATGTCCAAAAAAAAGGCGATATCACCTGCACCCGGCTGCAATGGACTCAACAACTCCAATGGAGTGCAAGGATTCGACTACTGCAGTTTTTGCGCCGCAAGGGTGATGTACCCACCGGATGACGGCCCTGGGCCAAGGTCGTGTCTACGCAAAAGACCGCATTTCATGCAGCACTTCCCCTCCGTGTTTTCCCTTTCGACTTAGAGCGCAAAGGTTGCAAGCTAGGTAACTAGACCCAGCTTTTCACAGGAACGACATCGGGGAAATACAGCCAGAAAAACTATTCTCGGCATTATCGTGGCTCGAATGTTTTCATGAAGAAGGTGCGCGTTGGTAAAGGAATTGAATTTGTCAAACCTGCAGTTGGCGTTGAGCCCTTGTTGTGCGGAGGCCTTCCTTGATCAGGCCCAAAGCTAGAGTGAGGGGCATGTTTGCCACAAACGCCTTGCAAAATGTCTTGGTAATGGTAATGTCACCGCAAGCATGACTGACATGCTTGGGCTGACATAGACGACATAGATGTTGTCATCATTGCTTGATCTTTTGTCAGCACACTGTGCCATCACCCTGCGCCAATTGTAGGAAAAGTGATGCAAGCAAGCCACGGTAAACGCTTTCAACCGTGTTCATTTTGCCATTGACTCACCCACCTGATCAGGCTTGGCTGGCTCCAGACCCAGCATTGAGGGTCACAAGATGCCTTGTAATGCAGTTGCCCAACGTAGCTTCTCAAAGATTGAGTTGACTCTGATAGGTTAGAAGGGCCAGACAAGACACGACAAACATATGTGTGACATCATTTGAATCCTTTGACAGGATCTTGCTTCAACAGCGTGGCCAAACCCCACGTGATTTGTGTATTTGACAGGGGCTGTGCTGAGCTCCAGCATTTTTGCAAATGAGGCGCTTTGTCACAGCCTTTTGGAAGGCCTATTCAATGGCAGCGCGTGTGTTTGTGGTGCTTACCTCAGAGCAGCATTCGCGTAACAATGCAAATCTGGCAAGGGTGCCAGGTCATTCGGAGAGAGCATGAACCATTGCATGCATGTGCATTGGTGTGTGTATACAAATACAAAAAATAGATACAGTACCCCCCCCCCAAAAAAAAGAACCGTAATATATATACATCTCTATCGAATCTATGTGTAGTAGACACTGTGTGGATATGCGCCCTTGGACGAACTCGCAGCAGAAGCAAGAATGGCAGATGGGTTTTGACACCACAATTTTAGCAAGCTTCGCAGGAGTGACCGCAACACTGCTTGAAACCCAGCTTTGGCCCATGAATGCTTGGGGGAACAGCTTCTCTGATTCAAGGGTGCTGAGAGATGCTGAGAGCATGTAAGGGTAGGATACGGTAGGGTCAGGCACTGCTGTTGCAGATTGCACTTGTCATTCGTGTATGTTGGCCTTGCCGAAGGAATGACTCTGAAGCAAAGCTGTCAGTCTGGCTCCTGAAAGCAGAGGAGGGTACTCAAATCCATAATGTTGAATGCCAATGCTGATAGTTTTATCAAGTTGAGCAGCCTTCTCAAGTTCGAGTGGCCTGCGTCGAGAAAGGTCAAGACCGGCCTGTGTCAGGACGACATGCATGTGTTGGCTGTCGGGAGCGTGTTGATGGACCTCTTGCAGGCCAAGGCGCCATGGAACAAAAAAGAACAGGACGGTGGGGGACCTTTAAGGCCTCCTTTAAGAGTCCTGATTAAAAATGACCTTACCTTATCTTATTTTGTTTGTCTTCTCTTTCTTCCCACATACCTCCTTTGTATATGCCATGCATCGTTGACACCATGGCACCATGATGTGCAGTGTTTGGCCCTGCCAGCCATCGCCCTTGTCGCCAGGGCCATGCTCCACGTCTAAAGTTTGAGAGCTTCGTTCGTGGCAAAGTGACGTTCGACCCTCAAAGCTGCTAGGGCCGGTTGGAGTGTTGCATGAACTTCACTGTTCATGATTTCGCCATGTTGCGCATTCAAGTTCCTTTGTGAGGCATGTTGTTTCAGCGTGATTCAGTGGGAACCGCTCCAGATCTCGCAAAGTTGCCCTGAGGCATCGGCTTCGTCCCTGATGATGAATGATTGTTTGATAAAGTTGGATGTTGAGAGAGTGATCTCGTCATCACATGTAAACGAACCGTGCTTTGGCTGAGCCAATGTCACCTTAAAAAGGTCTCGACGGCTGGGGTAAGTGGTGAGTAAATAGTTCTGATTATACATATGTATAATATGTATATATATATATGTGTACATGCACATGATGCACATTATCGACATACATGCATGCATGCATGCATGCATGCATACGTACGTACATACGTACGTACACACACACATTATACACAATATATTATGTGTATATGTTTTGTAATTTGGAAGTGGATGTTTGAAAGGACAGATTGCACATGTGAACTTTCTGGCTCTGCAGGTTTTCGGCCCAACCTGCCAAGTGACAAGATCAGACAGGAAACCAGTAACAAATTGATGTTTTTGCCAAGACGCTGAAGTCCGGACACGCTCAAGGCACTTAACATGGAACACATTCTTTGTGTAGTATGTTCTTGGTAAGTCAAGCAACCCAAGCCCAGCACTCTCTGCTTTGATTCAAAAACTGGACCGAGTTCCGAATCGCAATCGCAATGGCTATGAAGATCCCCTGAAAGTCTCAAGCCCAGGCATGGAAGCCCAATGAAGCTTGCAAGGGTGTGTAGAAACAGTTTGGTTGCAACCAGGCGATGGGCAAGTCGAAGGTGGGGAAAGTCCTGGCGCTGGGTCTTGCGCCTTGGCTGTTGCGGAATGCTTCGGCTTGCTTTTAGCACAAGCCCAGCCAGGGACTGGCTGATTTGATGGTGTGAGTACGACGATCTTTCCTTTGAAGCTAGCAGAGAAGGTCAACCACATCAACAGCACCCTGCAGAACGGACATGCAGGCCCATAGTAAGCAACTGCATCACGCTGAGCCCGCTAGAACCTGGCACAATGATTTTGGGAACCGTCGTTTAAAGCTATGTCAACCTCCTTCAAGAAAGAGCCTATTCCACAACCCAAAGTGGTATGGGTAAGCTTGGCTGATCCAAGTATTAGCATGTATTAGTAGCACGTGCCCCTTTCACGAGTTGCCAAGAGTGGTGCACCAACACCTTTCTAATTGAAGGCTTGTGGAGTGGACGCTACGGCAATGAATACTGCGAGTCGGCAAACATGTCGGTCGACCATGAGACACTCGCCTCTTTTATCGTCTTGAGCCAAAGTGTAAGCGACATATGTACAGAATATACATGATGCCGGAACATACAGTGTGCATATCGTTCCTGTGCTACTCGCACCCCCCATGTCTTCTTACTTTTAGTTCGAACACACTTTAAAATTGCGGAGCACAGGTATAAAGCTTGTTGCCGCATAGCTGACAACTATAATATGCGGATGAATTTCTGCTAACTACAAACACTGTTGAATATATAAAAGCGGACCTTACATATAAATCTGCACATCTCTCTTTGACTATACTATATAGATCATTCATTGAATTGAATTATCACTAGCGGAAGTGTGAAATAAGAGGAATGCCTCAACTCTTACCAAGGGAACCAATATCAACTCCTTGCAGAGGTATGGCTCAACCTACACACTTCAAAATGCATATATCACCACGCTCACTGCCGCTGGCGCCAGTAATACTGATCATTTCGAGCATATTCACTGGTTGCCGGAGGCTCCCACCATTCATGACGCTCTTTTCCATGACTTTTTCCTCGTTGATTAGCAGGATATTGTTCAGGAGGGCGGATAGGTGCAGTTTGATGTGTATGGTCTTCATGATGCCAATACACATCATCCAGGTAGGTGTGCTCGCCAACTCCAGCTCCGCGATAAGTAGTATCTGGTGGTCGTGGCTGATGTTGAGCTTTCCCCTTTCCTTTCTTGCCCTTTCCTTTCTGCCCTCTTCCTTTGTCTCCCTTCGGTCCTTTCCACAACGTTCCCATAGTCGATGCAGGCTCCAGAGCTGACATCTCCGGTCGCATCAAGTACTCGATGAACATACAAATAGTTGCCGAGATGTTCTTTCGTGTGCTCCATCTTTCGTGCAGTCTGATTCCACCATGATGTGATGTTCCCTTGGCCCTTGACACTCACTTCGGTTCTTGATCAGCATATGCTCGTGCTGCCGTGAGAAGAAATCCCCAAAGGTCTTCATGAGGGCGCAAGCTGCATAGTGCAGGATGTCCATCCACGAAAGCTTTCACTCTCGAAGTTGCAGTCCAGAGATTATCCTTATTTGCTGCTACACCTCCATGATCTTGATTGGCCCAGTACACATAACCGCAATTGAGACAATGTGACCTGTTCACATCATAGGCGCACCAAAAATAGGAATCATTGTCTTGTCATAGGTGAAGAAATTGTGGCTCGATTGTCATGGACCGAGTACTCTAGCAAATCAGGTTCTGGTTCAGGAAGTTTCATCACAAACTGGATGTCGGACCATCTCACATTGTGTGCCCAATGCCGTAGACTCTTCCACCCACGTTCGTGGAACGGAAGTAGCCGTGTAACATCGGAAGTAGCCACGTTCGTGGAACGGCGGACGTCCTCCCCAATGTACTTTTGACAAACATCTTCCGGAATGTAGATCTTGTGTCAATGAGTTCTTTGATTACAGCATTGTTCATTGAGCACAGGATCGACGTCCTTTCCTTAGTGAGTTGCTTCTCCATGACGGCCCAGATTGCATTGTAATGCTTCCCTTTCTTCGATGTCCACGGTGATCCTTGAACTGCAAACATATGATCCCATACTCTTGATGTCGTGGTGACCATAGCTCCGACTTTCCTAAAGTTGGTGGCCATGCAAGCAAAGATGTCTCTGAATGGTTCAAGCCCCACGCTCTTTGTTATGAATCTCGAAGAAGGACACAAGTTCACGAAAATAGGTATTTGGGATGCCGCTGCAATCTCTGCCACGATGTTGGTGAAATGTGCAATGATTCCATCATGCCATCATGATTCATGATTCTCTCTCGGGATCATTGAAGTTGAATTGCCTGGAAACATGAATCTGTTGCTAAGCCAAATGTGTACAGTAACGCCAGTTTCGATGCTCAACCGACCATCTTCACTTCCTTTCACACTTGCAAACAATTCTCTCGCCCTCACCATCAGAGCTTCGAAATATGGCCGGTCGGCGCTCAGCAAGCGCAACGTCACGTATCCCATTTCATCCACGAGTGCAGCTGTGATCCGGAGGATCTCTTCAAACTCTTTGTCTCATAGTCGAGGTCGGTGAACAAGTAGGTAACACCATTAGAAACAAGAAGCTATTAGGAACAAGTGCATCGCTTCTAGTAACAAGTGCCTTACTAGTAATAACAAGAAGCTATTAGAAACAATGCCTCGTCAATGTCCTTGAGGTCTTCCTGATTCTGGTCGATGTGAGTGCCCATTTTGGAGCTCAGTTCGTTGAACCTATATATGCAAGAGTGCAAGATCTTCAAGTTCAATGAGCTTCATGAGAATCACCATAAGTTTGGAATTTGGATAGCATGAAGTCAGCTCCATCTTTCCCTGTTCCAATGACTCATGGTACAGCTTTGTCCAATACTCATCTGTCTGGTGAATCTACATTGGCATCCATCTCACCTTCCTTCTTGCAAACTCTAAGAGGAGTAGATATGTGATATGCAACACGCCTCAAGTAGGTCTGCCATGTTTGAGTGACATAGGTGGTTCGTGGTCCTTGCAAGGTAGATGGATAGTATTTCACCACTTCGCCCTGCCAGTGTAGCTTGTGCCAGTGATCACGGACTTGACAATGCCTGCCGATGGCTTGGAAATGAACCAAATATATAGATTCGTCCTTCTCATCGTCGATCACAATGGTTTAAACTTCCGTGGACGGATCAATTGTTTTTGGAACTTTCTTTACTTCCGTGGTCACTGTGGTCCCTTCTGCCTTGGGCATGGCCTTGGCAGGTGGTGGTCCAGGTGGTTGCTTCGGAGCGGGGGTAGATGGTGGTGCTGCATATGCTTGCCATGGATCTTTTTCTTGTGCTGGAGTGGCTACATAGGTTGCTTGAGCATTCTTTGTAGGAGGCGGCTCGAAGAAGACATCATCATGATTGTTCCATGGATCATCAAAATATACTGGTCCATATACAGTCGGCCTGGGGATTCCCGATGAAGATGTTCCTGGTGTAGGCTTCCTGGTCGATGCAGTCGTAGGTGGAGGAGGATAGTTTGCAGGCGGTGGCTTTGGTGGTGGTGGTTTCGCGCTTGAAGAAGGCATTGATGGCTGATTCGGTGGGTGCTGCGTGGCAGGCACACCACCTTGTAGTGTTGCCTCCCATGGCGGTACTGCTTGTCCTCCTTGTCGAAGTCCAGGAAAAGCGGTGAACCCACTTGAAAAGCCGGTACGACCATACAGATGGCTACCACCAACTTGTGCAAACCTCGTCAGCCATCGTGGTTCAGGATGATTAGACATTTTTCATGTTATAGGCGGTCCAGTGACATTGTTCTCAAACGTGTAGTATTCTGGTTCCTTGCTGTCGTCTTGATCACATGCTTGGATGTTGGCTAAATAGTTGTTGATCGCTGCTAGATGCCTCTTCCTATCAGCCATTGGGCCATTCCCCAATGTGATCCTTGTTCAGCTGCCGAGACATAAAATCCAGCTCTCCAGATAATCAGATAACCGGTGTCACGTCCTTGTACCAATGGTATGGGCAATCATCCAATGTGGATTTTTGCTACATGTGCCAAACTCTTTCCGACGCTGGTATGGTATCGGACGTGATCCGGAATTGTAGTCGACATACACATTGCCGCCTGGAGATGATTCAATGCCGCTGCTCTCTCGAGGCTTTGGTCTTTTCTATTGTTCACACTGTCCCTCAGGATGTTTGCAACATTGATCTTTTCATCGGGATGTCTTTTGTTGTGCAGCCTGCAGCCTGATTGCATATCTACAGTGAACTGCATTGTGAAGGATGAACTGGCAGCTCATGTAGAAGTCAGTTTCTGTCATCTTCATTCCATCATTCTTGTTCTCAGACGGGCGTCTTCTGACAAAGTCTGTTCATGATGTCATACCAATCCGGACATCTTGTGATGGCAATCAATGAATCCTTACTGGGTGCAGAGGCATTCACACCTTCGATCCCGTTCATCCTGACGGCATTGCTGAGGCCACTGATCATACCTTTGCCGTCGAGCTCAGAATGAAATGGCACCGGGACAAGGAAGTGGTCGACTTTCTCCAGGATACATCCAATTTGTCCCTGATTTCATCTGAACAAAATCTGTTGAATAATCGAATGTCCTCAATCACCTTTCTCCCTTCACTTCCTTCTCAGCTTTCACATCTTCCTCGTCGTCCTCCTTGATCTCGGGGAGCACGAATGATTTTGAAGCCATACACTGAAAGCTTGAGATGTATTTCCCTAGGCTCGAAAGAAGCTTGGCCTGGGGCATTTCTTCTTCTTCCTCACTCATGAAGCTGAAGAGATATTGTAAATGATGAACGAGATGTGCATTTGGCCCCTTGGTCGGCGTTGGTTGCTGAATATGAGGCTGCAATCAATCACAGGAGGCACTCCAATGTCAATTCAAACCTTGCAGTGTTCTTTGCTGAATGCTGCTCCTCCAAACATGCCATCACGGCCACCGAAGTCGTCCTCGCTGAATTTCACTGGCATGACCAAATTTTGTTCGGAATGGTTTCCCCTGGCAACAGTCTAGGTGTCTCCTTTGTCTCCGCAAGCTTGATCAGCTCCAAGAAGTGGCGCAGAGCTTTCTGAGGGTTCACCTTCTTGTAGACATTGTAGACAGTCGAGGAAATCATCACGCCGATGAGATCGGGCGCAAATATCACAGTCTCGCCGATGAGATCGATGACGGCAGGCACGAAATGCAGGAATCTTTATCAGGAAGCAGTGCAAATGGCTCGATCACACCCAAGGGATGAAATCTGCAACAAATGCAATTGGAAGACTGCTTGAATGTACCACACAAGGCTGGAGTGACTTTGCGTCTGGGACGATGATTGCTGGCGGCCGAACGATCCTTGTCTTGCCCATTATGAACATCCAATCCTTTCTTATTCAAGTCATGCAACGCTTTCATGACATAGTCAAATGTCTGCTAAAGCTGTTTCTTCCTGTGCCTGTACTGACACGGCACATGCGAATGCTTGTGGTCACATTTCTTCCTGAGTCTGTCAAACTCGCCTCCAAGGTTTCATGATGGGTTCTTGCTTCTTATTGAAGACAGGGACTAGGCCATACATGCATCCATCAAACTCACTTATGTGTGATTCGGTACCATCGACAAGTGATTGCATGCGACTGTCTTTCCAATACTCACAGCTTCTCGGAAGTTCAGTCAGTGCAAAGGCATCAATCGCAAGCACATGATCCAAGAACAAAGCAAAGTTGTCCCAAAGCTTCCAGTAGGTGTCCTGATGTTGTTCAATTTACTTTGGAGTCTCGTCACTAATTGTTCTGTTGGGTTCCAAGCTGACCCACCAGTGCGCGGTCCGGCAAAGAAAACACCATCGCGGTTGCTTCTGAGACATGCATATACTATACCTATACCATATGGAGACAATGCATCATCGTCAAGCGAGACAGGCACTACATTCACTACATGCAGGTGTTGCTTTTGAATTGTCGATTGCATAATTGTGAACCAGTTCTGCTATTCGGAACAAGAAGCACCAACGTGGGGATGTTGGGGTCAAGTTCAAACTAGATCAACCCGATGTCATATCACTCTCACCACTGACAACGTCTTGTGCATGGAGTTCGAACTGATATCTCTTAGATCCTCCGTTTCTCTTTTGTAGTATGAGGTGAAGAACGGGTCTCCTACCAATGGGCGTTTCATTGGCGAGCAGCTGTGCCTCCTGTGCAACGAATGTATTGTCATGTGTACAAATTGCGATATCCGAAGTTAAGTGTACATCGTAGTCACAAGTGTTTGTTACAGGATCTGGTTCATCAAGCAAACGAAAGGTAGTGCTGCCAAGCCATTTATTTTTCTTGCTTCCATGTTTGAGTGAGTTGCCACGAAAACGCCAGTTGTCAATGACGTCGTCGCTGTGATCACGAAGGAATCTTTCAGTTGCTTCTTCGTCAAACGACATTGCAGGGTTGACTGGACAATCGTCAACTTCATGCGGGATGAATCGATGAACAATGTGCTTCTTGGTACGTTGTGCACGCGTCCAGTACATTTCCATCGAGTTCCCATGAGTCACAGTGCTTTTTGTTTGTTCTTCTCGTTTTGACTGCTTCCCATGCGCTCCAAAATGGTCATGCACGACACCACATGCGCGAATTAAAGCACCGTCCTGCCCCCCATCCCCCCCATGAACGAGACGCAGTAGCGTGTTGATCACACGAAGGGTGGCAGGTTGGCAGTTGTTGATAGGGACTTGACTTGTAAGTCATTAGGCATACCGTCCTGAAGAAAGGCAGGATCATGAGCAAGACACCGAACAGAACACTGCAAGGGGGCATCAGGAGTCCAAGGGACATTGGCCAGAGCTAGGAGCGGGGATGACTGAATGCCAACCGCGGCGTCAAAAGACGAAGCCTGAGAACAATGAGACAAAGCATGCTCTCTCGACCCATTGTTCGAATCGATCGGCTTGTTGGAGCGGATGGACGCGGTCTTCAGCCTGTTCCCAATGGCCATTCACTAGCACCCAGGGTTCTCCAATGGTTGTTTGATCCACGCGATCCAATCCTTTTGGTCGAGACCATTGGTAGCAATTGAAAGTTGTATTCCATAATCGCTCTCCCTTCTCCAAGTTGTTCTGCTCTCTCCCTTGGGAAGCAGCCACGATCTGCTGGTTTTCGAATTGCAAGTTCTGGACTTCTTGATGCATTTGGTCAGCGATGTGTTCAATCTCAGAGTTCTTTGCCATAAGCCCTTCAGCTCTGGCATGAAACTGCCCTGAACCCTCACGACTTTCATGAGCGCCATGAACCACATAGTTCAATTCCTCATTCGTTTCAGTCATCCTTCTTGCTAGTAGGATAGCTTCTTCTGACTCAATTAATATTGTCATGTTGTCGAAGGTGCTGATATTGATTTGCCATGTGAGTAGCGCCTTCTTGAGCAATGATGAGTCTTCTTTCGAGTTCTTCAATCCGGTATGTAGCTCCTTCGTCTTCTTGTTGAAACTCAACAATGATTCTTCCCAGAGGATTGCTTTCTTCGCACATCTCATACAATTGTTTGTCCGTGTCAGACTTGAACTCTTCGAAGTTCATCCGTGTAGCTTAGTATTCATCACGAGTCACGTCGTAGAGCATCTTGGCAGATCTCGGTTCCTCAATTAGCTGAGCTTCTCTGATTGATGTTTCATTGCTTGTAGGCGGCAACAGAGCGGGTAGAGCTGGTTCTGTGGGTGCCGTGGGCAGCCCGCGAGATCCCCATGCAGTATCCTTGGCAATACTCTTCTTGGGTTGTCTCATATCCCCTCTGGTGTTCGCCAGTGCAGATCTCGTTACCCTTTGCAGAGGTCTTGTCGATCTGGAGGGCATAGACACATCTTCAAGTGCATTTTCTGACACTTGTGAACCTGTAGGCATGGTCATGATAGACCCTCCGTGGGAGTCGCTGCTGGCGTTCACATTTGAATCAGGTGTTGACTGAAGTAGCACCTGGTGCGGCAGGGAACGAATAGATCCCACTCATCTCGTCTGTGCTCTCAGTCTCTCAGCCCAGCTCGTAGCAGAACGCTACGGCTGATAACCTTTGAGTCGGCAAACGTGTCGGTCGACCATGAGACACTCGCCTCTTTTATCGTCTTGAGCCAAAGTGTAAGCGACATATGTACAGAATATACATGATGCCGGAACATACAGTGTGCATATCGTTCCTGTGCTACCCGCAAACACATATACATACCGGTTTGCATAATCGTTTACAGTAGACTCGTAGACTTGATGGTGCTTTCCCATTCATGCATCTCCTTTATCCAGTGGTGGCTTGGTGGCTGTCCCATTGAATTCAGGAGTTGGATCCAAAGAAAGTCCTAAAGATGGAGTTGGGGCCTCAGCTGATCCCAGCTGGCATGAAGTTTTGGTTTGGACTGTGAACTAGCGCCATTTGGAACTTGAAACTGCTGACCTGACTTGTGAGTGTGTTTGAGGCCAGATGAGCGCGCCAGCTGGTTCAGCGATGCCCCTTCCCAACAATCTTGAGGTATGTGTGGACACTTTGGGCTTTCATGGCACAGTTCCAGTTCAGCAGAACCCAGCAACAGACAGATGGGTCACTTCCATGTCATAGCAAGTTGCAACTGAATGCGTGGCCCTCAAGGTTTGCCGCTTTGCTTCTGATGGCATTGTGCAAGACAGGGCCCCAGACAAGCCTTGCAGTCTTTGATGATCGAAATCTGTAGTGAGGGTTTTGCCCTTTTCATTTTGTGATTGGAACGGAACCAAGTACGGCATGGATAATTTGCAGAACGGACACTGCGCAAGAATGTTCAACTCGTTTGCCATCACGAAAGGTTGCCTCGGCTACGGTTCTCTTTGCTTTAGCAATATTAGGGGTTGTGGACGGTGTATATCCCTATGCCTATGACTATCTATGACTATATAAACTCATGTGATAAATTGATGAAACAAAACTACCAAACAAAGACGATTTTTACAGTCAATTATACGAAGAAAACATAACTGACAAAGACTACGCCAGAGCAAATATTGTTTGGACACATTTTAACATTAAAAAAAGACTTTGGTGAACATCATGATTTATATTTGATGACTGATGTATATATACAAAGTGATGTCATCGAAAATTTTAGGGATATGTGCTTAAGGTTAGACCCAGCGTATTATATATAACTTTACCGAATTATTCTTGGAATGCCTTGAGATTAATTACAAAAATGGATTGAGAGGAGGAATGACACAGCGCTCCTTCAAGAAAGTAGAAGCAAATAATCAATACATGAATGAATATTGTGATAAATCTAAACCTTCATCATACATAAGTTTTTTAGATGCTAATATTCTTCATGGATTTGCTATGGGTAAGGAAACTGCCTGGCAAAATGGATGAGAAGAGAGTAATGAAATGTAGCGACGATGATGATGATGATGATGACATAGGTGTTTTTGGAAGTTGATTTAGGTTACCCAAAGGAACTTCATGATTTACATAAAGACTATCTATTAGCAACTGAAATCATGTGTATCAATGAGTGTATGCTTTCGCAAGTCCAAAAGAATGTACACAAACACTTTTATGGAAAAGATGCTGGTGATGACAAGGCACATAAATCAGTACTAAATATAATGGATAAAAGGACATACTGTATGTTTTACATATATCAACATTGAAGTTCTATTTACAGCATGGGTTAAGTCTTTGAAAAGTCCATAGAGCAATAAGTTTTAAACAAGCAAACTTCTTAAAACCATTCATTGAACTCAAAGACTGAAAAGAGACAGAATGCACAAACATGACTTTAAGTTAATGAATAACGGTGTATATGGCAAGACCATGGAGAAGGTAAGAACGCATGGTGATTTTGAGATAGTCAATACGCCTGAAAGCTTCCAAAACTGGCAAATAAACCGCTATTCAAACACTGGCATATCATAAATGAAGACCTTGTAATTGTTGAAAAAGATAAACACACAGTTGAGCTAAACAAACCTATTTATATGGGTATGTCTATTTTTAGACTTTTGGAAAATTCACATGCATTCATTTTACTATGATGTGTTAAAAACAAAATATGATATATAACAAAACCAAGTTGGTATATACTGATGCGGATAGTTATGTAATCAAAGTTGAGACGGGTGATTTATATGAAGACTTTAAGGAGATAAATGTATTGTATACACGGATTTCAGTGGTTATCCACAAGAGCATCCAAACTAAAAACAAATAAGGCGGTCTTAGGAAATTCAAGGATGAAATGAACGGTAAAATCACGAAAGCTAGCACCAGCTAGCTGGAGTTTTCCTTGCTTTAGCAAATGAGGGGCTGGAATCCTCGAGATCGCCGCATCACGTGAAAACTTCATATGTAGAGGCCCCCCCCCCGCGGGTTCAACTCCCCCCTGGGACGCCTCTGGGACACCTCTTGGACACCTCTTATGGCATCCACTTTGGTTCAACTCCTCCGTGGAGGTTTTGGGATACGATGCAACAGATTCAACAGATTCGCAAGCTAAGGTTGGCTGTGTCATTGCTGTTCGTGTGTCTTACATGTTCACAACGTTTTACCTCATGAGCGAGACCGTGTGAACCATTCCTCCAACAGCCCCATGCATATGAAAAAAGATTTGCCTCACTCCGCTTCGCTTGATGTCCCACCAGTCCTTTGTCACTGGACGGCGCTGTATGCTTCGCCTCCACTGACACGGATGCATCCCTGCTAGCTTTCGTCACCTACCCTCGGCCTCAAGTAATTACTCACTTTATAGGATTGAAACCAAAGGCATATTGTAATAAAGTGTATGGTGATCAGAAAGAACCCAAGAAAAGTAAAGGAGTAGTCAAGCATAAAGTGAGCAATCAGTTAATGTCAACCTTTGATTAATCGGTAGGCCCCCCCCCCTGAAAGACCTCAAATAGACTTAAAGACTGTTTTCAACTGTTTAGTATTGGTAGAGATTTTTCCTTTAGTATAAGAATCTATAAAGGAAAGGAATAGAAGAAAGGAATCCATTGAGGACCCATTGATTCAGCAGGAATCCTCACCAGGATCAGCCAGCAGGAATCCTCACCAGGATCAGGGGTCCTTAGCTGTATTTAGGGTCAATCTTTATTTTGTACTTGGGCCCTCATGAGGGGTACCCTTGCTGAACTGTTTTCATAGCTTTGTTCAAGATTTTTTAATAAGGGATTTTAAAAGAAATCACCCTAGGTTCATTTGGATCTTTTTCCTTGTCAGCTTCTTGAAGAAGAGTTCACCAAGGGGGATGAAATTGGGATTAGATTGAGAAGACGTACAAGAATGGACATTTTTTAAAGGCTGGATTTGGTACATTTTTTAAAGGCTGGATTTGGGATACCTAGGGCCAGGGGTGAAAACATTTATATAGCTTTATTTGGTGGTAACTCAATAATCTGTTCTGGGATTTGCTTAGCTTTATTCAGGAGATATTGATTAATCCTAGGTGGACATTAAGTTACAAAACTTAGGAAGAGACATTGAATAGAAACTGTAAAGAAGAAGTCGCTTTTAACTCTATCAGAAGTAAGTACTATCAAATCTATAGCATTAATCAGACTAAATATTCTTTAAGCACCTACAATAACAAACGCTACTGGTATTCACATTTTGAGAGTCTCCCATTTGGACATTACGCCATACATATCATCATAACGAAACAACGGCTTGATATTATGTATTTAGATTTGAAGAGATATGAAAAGGGACAAGTTTATAAGATAGCTGTTGTTGGTTCAAATAATTGCTACATCAGTTCAACAACTGAAAAACTAACTGAAATAGATTTTTGACCCTATCTAAACAATACACACCCAGCAAAACACCATCCTAACTCTATGAAATGGTTTGATGAGTTCGGTGTTGAACATTGCAAGATAGTTCTTATTGAAGAATTCCCATGCCAAAACAAAAAGCAACTCGAAAAGAGAGAAGGTGAATGTATTGAAAATGATAAGAAGTGTCTTAGCAAACGTGGTGTTGGTAGGGCTAAGGGAATATTACGATCACCTCGAACAGAAGGAAAGACAGCAAGTATTTAAATAAAAAAATATAGAAAAATGCAACGAAAAAGACAGATGGCATCATGATAACAATGACAATAAAGAGACGATACAAGAAAAAGACAACACTGAACAAATAAGGACACATGTTAATACAAGAATTCAAAGTATATATAGAGAAGAAAACAGAGAAGCAATAAGACAACCACCAAGAGAAAGATACCAATGAGAGAAAGATAGAAGTAATGCCCAAAAGAAGAGAAAATCAAAAACAGGAGACAAAAGATCAATTACTAATCAACCAAAAGTAATTCATGCCTATTATATCATTTGCTCATTCCAGCTAATTTGTAGTATCTACTATTCGTCATATCACGACCAACTAGTGCTACTTTATATTTTCGTTAACTCCACAAACTTCTGTTTTTTCCTTGATACATAGTTACTGCCCTTTCGTGAATTTATGAAATTAAACCCCTTTGAGCGCTTGCTTGACTGGGGAGTTGAAACTGTTTCTTTATTATATACACTGTGCCGGGTGTTCTCCACGTTCGAATTGCGGCTGTGGCGTTTCATCCAAAAGCCCTCGTTGGCTTAGCCGAACCTGAATAGTGAGATGTGAAAGGGGATCATTCTTTGCAGGGCTTTTATTACAAGGGTTCGAACGTGTATTCTGAGATTTCAACCTTTGATTGAAGACTTGTATTGATTTGTATTGTATGTTTGTTTTCAAGTTGTATTCAACTTGGCGGAAGCCAGTGCCACACCACATGTTCTCGACTTGATATCTTCACTTGGTCCCAGGTCAGCCAGCGTGGGCCCCAGCCTGTAAGATGTTGTGCCGAGAATACATTTAAGGTCTTTCCTCCTGTGTTGTCAAGGCTGTACAATGTGCTCTCCAGTGAGAAATTTGGCGATGGGCTTTCTGAGAAAGCTGCTCGGGCGCAAGAAATCAAAGGGTTCGTCTAACATACTACTTGGCCATTTGACCTTCACTGCCTTGACCAGGCTGCGAAACGAATGAATCGAACTATGTTAAAGCATTTGTATGACACCCAGACCAGTTGAACTGTGCAGTGCTGTGATAAGAATGGAACCGGCAGCATGAGTCTAAGTGCAGGGTGTTGTACCACTCTCTTGCTAGCTGGTTTTATATACTGGAGATGTTTGGTTTGCTGTGCATGACTTGCCAAGCAGCCGTTGAGGCACCTCTTTTCAGAGAAGCAGCAGCGATACCTCAAGCAGCTTCTTGCAAGCAACGTGGGTCGGATTGTTCTGACAAGTGAAGGATCGTTCAAAAATGGTCAGAGAAAGGAATGCACGAAAGACGAAAGAATTAAAAGAAACAGCGAAAAGAGAAAGGCTTCAAAGTGCTGCATTGCTTCTTGACACCTGAGGTTGGGGCTTGTAATGGATGAGACCGAAACATCCAAGGCATTTCAAGTGCACAGTGCCATGCCAAAGAAGTGATGTACTCACAGTCGCCCTGGAACCACCCCATTTTGTGTTGGCTACGAGTTACGTTTATAATCGTTTATACTAGTATAGTTTAGATTAGTGAACTGTCGTGTATACTTCTTTGTGTTTATTAAATGCTGCAATTGGCATAGATAATATGCGTGCCTGCCTGTACCAGGATGTGGCGGACTACAAATCTGCCAGGAGAAAGGCATGATTTCTGGAATGCATTCGGATACAATTCAGCCTTATAAGTAATAGCGTCAAGCCTGGGCCTCAAGGCCCATTTCTAGAGTCTAGAGACTCAATGGATGCAAGTGCAGGGCAGCGATGAAGATGCTGCGGCCCGAATGGAGGACTTTGTCGCGACAACATGCAACTGACATGCAACATGATCCACACTAGCGGTTGCTGCAGGCAAGTGTCAACTCCGTCATGCACTTTCTTGACATTTGATCGGCCAGCATTGCTTGGAGTTTGGAAAAGGAGATGATGGCACGATGCCGTAATTTCGTCCGAGAGAAGGCCGGCTTAGCGGAATTCACTTCTTTGTTTGAGACCTCACCTGGTGCCATTGGATTCTGTGTTGACTTTGGTGACCTGCGTGAGTGAGTTTCAGACACGACGCTAAGCTTGGAGCCCATGATTACAAGGCTGACACCTTTGAGGAAAGAATGAAAGAAGCAGAGGAACGTGAACAAGAGGTGCCGGTGGATGGTGTGTGTGTTGGAGTGCTGGCCGCTGATGGCCCGTGATGGGCAGAAATGTGCTTACAAAGCACAGGCAAGACGTCAAGAACGACTGCGTCAAGAGCAGGAACGTAAAGAGCGCTTGGCACGGGAGTTTGGAGCTCAGAGCCACACACGCTAGCGAAGGTCCAAAGTGTGCATTGCGGAGGGGCCATGGGGCCATAGTGTATGAAGGATAATTGGAAAATCAGTGAGCGACAATTGACACATTGCACGTATGCCGAGAATACCGACAATGCATCAGGAAAAGGTGTTGCAACAAGTGGAAGCGGAAGGACTTAAGAGAAATGCCCGGTATTTTGGCAGAGCCTTGCCGCCCTAGCTGTTGACAAGTTAGGGATGCAGGATTTGATCACAACAAGGTGCCCGTCAGCGGAAGATGTTTTCCTTGGGGCCCAGGACTCCTAAGCTTTGGGTTCATGTTGAGGTGGGCAGCCATCACAGAGTGGCATGCACCCATGGAGAGTCAGGGTCCCAGTTTTCTTTCTAGATTGGGGGCCTGTCAGCCATAGTCTAGAGTCTAGAGTCTACAGTGAGCAATTGCAATACTGTATGTAAAACACCTCGGAAGCGAACTCACCAAGCTGACCCATGATGCAAGAGTCCAGCGCGATTTGGTCCAACTACTTGGTCACGCATATCAGATGCTGCCTCTTGCAAAAGCACCTTGAAGCACGGCTTACCCTCAGGCTGGGAGGAATTGCAGCTATCCTTGGAGGATTTCCGGACGCAGGAACGCGCCCAGATGGAAGAAGAGGCTACCAACCACTTGGAGCATTGAAGTGATTGGAGTGGTGCCTGGAGCACGCAGTTCAAATCGGCCATGAGAATAGAAGCAGAGCAAGACCTGACATGCCGCCCTTGGAAGGTCAGACGAGCCTTGAGGAAGACTAAGGGGCCTCTGCCTGAAGAGCCTTGAAGTGCATGTTGTGATTTGCTAGGAGCAAGGACGCTACAAGGGGCTCCTGACCTTACTACTAGGAGCGATAAGAAGCTACTAGGGGATCCTGGCATCGCTACTAGGAGCAAGGACGCTAGAAGGCACATCCGCAGAGCCCAGTTGAGGTCCCGCTCCAGGTCTAAGCGCAAACGGTCCAGCTCACAGTCCTGAGGTCCGGCACCCTAAAACGGTCCGAATTGCCACCGAACCGCCCTTGACACTCGTGCAGCCCGAGATCTACAGTCACAAGACCATACAAGACCTACATACACAGACATACCATCAAAAGGAAACAGTTAAGACAACCATTGCTGCATTCGGCTGTATTGAGAGCCTAAGCTTGGGCCAGTGGCAGATCCTGCAACAGAGTCGGCTCAAGCGCTATGGCCTTTGCCCGGCAGCGCCTCACCAGTAGCCCCGTGGTGGGTAAAGTGGTCGAGTGCCTTGGCAGCAGTGAACAGTGAGGACCTGAGCTGATGGGCCAGGAAAGTAATTCTTGTTTCTAATAGCTTCTTGTTCCTAGTAGTAAGGCCAGGAGCCCCTAGTAGCGTCCTTGCTCCTACGTAGTATCGATGCCAGGAGCCCCTAGTAGCGTCCTCTACCCTCTGGTGAGCAGGACTTTTTTGTTTGCAATTTAAATATTGGACTCCAAGAAGTGCGGCAGTTAAATGTTTCCTTGGCGAGGTGGAAGAAGACACATGGCTGGATAGAGCCGGAGTGCAGCATCGAGCACCCAGATATTGGCAAACATCAAGGCACGTGAGTTGCAGGTGACATCAGGCATTGAACAAGGGCAGATAATGGCATATAAATGCAATATAATACATATACTAGCACGATCTAGAGCGGCCTGCTCCAGGAAAGGTGTCCTTATCCTGGAGTTGGCCTGCATTTGGTGTAGATTTGCTATCAAGGCGATGACTGTCCTGTTGTGCCCAATGAGAGGGCTGATGAGGGTTGTAACCTCGATTGACCTTTCCATCCTTCACGGCCTGACGCTTTCGAGCAAATTCTGAAGCAGCATGAAGTAGCCTTTCCCTCCCTTTCCCATCTTTTTGGGTAGTGAATGCAAACACATGCCAATTCCTCTTGGTTCATGTCCTCGATCATCGTGGTCTCAACTGCATGTTCCATCTCCTCAATGTCATACTGAATCTCCATGAATCTCCTCTTCAATTTCATTCACTCCGACCTCCTCCTCCTCCTCTCCTGCTCCTCATTCGGACCTTCGTGCCAATCCCCAATGGCATACATTTCCTCATTCTCCGGAGCTGAATCGTCATAGCGACCATTCTTCCTCAATTGGGAAGGCCCAAGTGCCACACTTCCCCCCTTGCCGTAGTTGCTTTTCCAGCCTCGGGAGGGTTGGTCTTGCCCGTCCAATTGGATCAGTCCCAGTCATACTTATTCCGAATTCCCATGCCGGCTGGGGTGACACCTGCGGTCCTTAAATAGGGAAATATGCCTGGAGGTCGACCGACAACTTGGTATATCCTTGAGTCAGCTTTGTGAGCTTTTCATATATTCGCTCTCCCTCCTGTTGATGTAGTCCTGAACTGACTCGTTGGGCTTTCGGCGGCTTTTCTCAAAGAACTAATCCTCAAACTTTGAGTCTTCAGGGGCGCCACTGTTTTGCAAGCAGTTCGAACAGTCTTCACAATTAGCATCGATCAGCTTCACTGCTGCCTGTGGCCCTGAAGATGAGCGCGGCTCTGATGCTGCAACAACTTCTGAGCCGAGATCTCTGCCTTTCGATGACAGACATGGCGTCCATGCTCGGCTATGTGGGGCGTGTACCGTGTAGGATTCTTTCCCATCCTTGCTCACAGTCTGGAAGCCAAGCCGCTCGCGTTCCTCATACTCTTCTGCCAGCTTGGAACCACATTGGTTGTTGGGTCCACGCAATCCCTGAGACATATTGTAAACGTATACCGTATATTGATCAAATCCTGCAAACATGTGAAACTGCAGGAGGCAACATAGTAAATTCAACCACAAGCTCCAATCACAATGTAGTCACAACACGCTCAAGAAACGGATTCCAGTATGATAATGACCCGAATGCAAAAGGTAATAGTCCAAGCCATGAACAATGCGGCTCTGTACGACCAAGCAGTGTCCTCCAGCTCTGCACGAGCAAGAGGTCAGCACCAAAGCAAAATGGTGTCGACGCGGGCTACTTAGAGCTTTTGAGCTCCGCTACGAGTAACAAGATCTAGAGCGGCCGCACCATGGACTCATGCGTGCACACTGAGATTTCATGTGAAAACAATACAAATAACTATGCATATAATACAATCGTAAATAGATGCGCTCAAGAGTCAAGAGGTATTCCTTTAGAAGTAGGCCTGGACCAGTTTGGCACGGAAGCGCTGGATGGGATTCGGTCATGTTGGAGTCCGCAGAGATCACTTGCTTCCAGGTCACATCTTTGTCCATGGTGAAGACATCGTGCCCAAGTGGCGAGGTTTGGTCGCTGGATCCATGGTGGAGTTCATCCTCTACTTGGACGGTGGGCCGCCCAAAGTTTTCCAAGTGGTGTTCATTTATCTGGGAACCAATCCCAGCACAGGTCCTTCTCCAAGGTTTAGGGACCATTCACCGTAGGAGTAGGAGTTGACATTCACGGCATGGAACCTGCTTCAAATATGCCCGCAGTTCTTTTCAAATCTTCTGCCACGAGAAGAGTTCCATTCTCAGGTCATGGCTTGGGCGCAGAAGAGTGTATCGCCCGAAAGGTCTTGAGAGTGACCTTGGCCTGGAAGCACGCGCAGGAGACACTGCACGTTCCAAGACAGGAGAATCACTATTGTCACTATTGAGCTCTGGTTAGTGTGGACTCTTGGGCACGGCAAATGGTAACATATTCAGCACACCAGATCAGATCCTCAGATCCAAAACCAGTGGTTGAGGGGGTTCGAGGAGCTCTTCGGCGAGACGGGGGAGAAACTCGCAGACTTTGAGGCAAAGATGCAGGCCTTGGGCGACCTCGGCCGACCTCGGCCGACCGGGCGATACCTTTGAAATCGATAGAACATGTCTTCCAAAAAGCTTGATGTGCCAGGTGAGCATCCGTGCATATCAGTGGTGCCAAATGGATGGATCCAGCAGTGACCTGCCGTTTCTCCTCTTTGAGATTTGGGGACGGCCGCAGGCAGCTGCTTGGTAATAAATGGAGAGTGAGGGGACAGAGCCAAAAGAAGCGAAACTTCAGAAAGAGATTTGTTATTGTGACGATGCCATTTGAGGCTGTCAAACTGCAAACATGCGCTTGACAAAGCCGAGGTTGTTGAAACGGTGGATGCATTGGCCATTCGCAGAGAGGAAGCCAAAGATGAAGAGACGCACCTTGAATTGTCATGAAGTGGTGGCCGCAGAAAAGATAACATGGAGAAAACATGATACAACTTCAAACTCCAGAGGCAGGAGGCAGCCCCACCAGCAACCCCAAAAATAATAAAATAAACAAACAAACTACTCATACAAGTCAGATTCAACGCAAAAACTCAACTCAAACACTCAAATGCAATGCCCATTGAACACGCTAGCTTTACTGGCTTTTGACATTTTGACTCAGGGTTGTTTTGTTCCTGAACACAACCGCAAAAAAGGGAAAGACAGTAGACTAGAGTCAACAAAGGTCAAATCCGACTCAAGTCAGAATCTGCACTGGTGAGGTTTTTGCCGTTCTACCGTTCTCCCATTTTCTTTCGGAATGTGGGACTTGTCGTCGATTGACTGTTATTCTGAATTGAATTGAAGCTGCTTCAAATTCCTTTGATTTGTTAGGTGAATTCGCGATCAAATTGTTGCGGTATGGAATGTAGTAGTGAGAAATCATGATGCTGAAGAGTGTTGACCAAAGAGAAGCCTACCGCTTTGTGCTTACAGCTGCTGTTCAGGTGTGAGTCCGAATTGCTAAGGCTTTGTGTGAACCTCTTACTTCCAGAGAGCCGCCTATGGAAGGTTGGCCACGTGGTTTGTCCGACGGTAGCCCATTGGAGTGTATGATATGCAATATTTACAGCTCAAAGAACCTGAATCATCCAGGCCCAAGAGCACGTGAACAGTAACTTGGAACTACTGAGCATATACTGTATTTGGAGTTACTGTGTATATAGCGCTCCCTGTTGGGTGCAGTGGGCACTAGGATTATTTTCAGCTTCAGTTGATTCAGCTCAGCGTGGGAGTTTTCCACCAACATGCGCCCTGAGGTCAGAACAATACCATACATTGCCAATAGATGCCACATCATTTGCCTGTTTTTTAAAGTCAGATTTCTTCTGGTGAACTGTGGCATGTGCAACCACTGCACTTGCACCTGCAATGCATTCAGAGCGTGTTTGCACAACAAGACTCACCTCCGGCAGAGCGTGTTCAAGTTTCAATGGATGCGAGCCAGGGTGTGTGATGACATGTCAGGTGACGAAGGGTCACGGGTGTGTGGTAATTTGTGTAATGTGGTGATTTGCGATGCTCCGAAGTTGTGTAGATACTTCTCTCTCTCTCTCTCTCTTTGCAACAGATGCTTTGACTCGAGTGGCGATGGCCTTCTTGCTTCGGGCTTAAAGAATCAGCAGGAAAGCGCTATGGCTTGCGATCATACCATCACTGTCAGCCGGCAGTGGTTTAGCATATTCAGACCTGTGCAGGCATCTCGACAGAGCGCAAGGATGCGTGCAGTAGAAACTCCTTGTTTATGTGTTTTTGCAGCCTGTCGTTACAAAATGTTTCTCTCTAGAAATTTCCACTTAACTACTCTCCCGCAAAATAACATGTAACCAAAGAATTGACCGGTGGAAGACCATGTTCCATCATTTTCCTCTAATTACAACTAACCCAGTGGTTTTGGGGGTCCATGTTAAATGCAGGGAAGTAATATCTCTACTTTTCTGTACAAATACTGTTGTTTCTCCATACAGTTGTCCAGGAATCTCTACTTTGGCACAGCTCGTGCAAAACTAATTGCACCTTTTGATGTTCTTCTTTGGAACATCTCGATGCTGTATCTTTAGGCCTCTCATGAAATTCATGTGCTTGATTTGCTTAAAGCTTGCGTAGAACATGCAGTGCATCCTGAATAGTTCAATTCCATTCCTCACTGCCACGGCATGACCGACCATTGATCTTCGCAAAACTTTTCGGCAATCCTGGCAGTGACTTCTGAATCC